TTGCGCCAGGAATGGCGAACGCACGCGTGCGCGCGCGCGCACGCCACTTGCTCAATTTTTCCTGGTTAAAGGGCCATTCGATTTTTCGTTTCTTTCTCGAAATTTTTCTTTTCTCTTTATTCTATTATTCGATGGAGGAGGAACAAAAATTTTGAAGAAGTTTTGAAAAAGTTCGTCGTTTTTAAGGGTAGATATTCGAAAAAAGAGGAAAGCAAAACCGTGCGTATTTTTGATATATGTTTATTTAGATTTGTTTAGGTAATTAAAATTTTGAGGGAGGATTAAAAATTGTTTAGTTCTTATTATATTGTTGAATTTTAAATTTGGGGAAGATAAAAATTGGGCGTGATTACATATTGTAAGCGATAAAAATGAGGGAAATTGGAGGCAGAGGATCGATGAGATCGTCCGCGCGCAAACAAATTGCGAAGGACATTGTTGAGCTTTCGATGAATTCGCGAAACATTAAAAATCGAGTGGTATTTTTCGTCGAAACTTTTCAATATTCGTAAAATATTGCATCCTCGCCCGTCCCGATACCACTTCAACACTTTTCACTTCGTTTGAGCGCGTGGTTGAATATTGTTCGAAATATCTAAAAATACGCGCAGCTATCGTCGATGATATCCCATTCTGTTTTTTCTTTCGTGCAGAAACGCGGTATTGTATTCGAGACGAATCTTTGAACCAAGACGGTAAAGAGTGTATACACGTGTTTATTCGTTTAACAACAAGTTTAATAATCGAATAATCGAAAAATTTCGTTAATTTTGTAAAAGATTATAGATATATAATAATAATTTTCCCTGTATCTTGTATATTTTTCATAAACATAACCTAGAATTTTTGAAATTTCTTTTGAGACACTTTTGCAACTTAAATATTATTATACCATAAAAACTGCGGAAAAACTTCAATATTTGAATATCTGTACAACATTATAATCCGTTATTTATCCTGAAAATCCAACAATAGATCGTCACAAAAATTTCACGACATCGATTTGATTGACTAAGAATTTTTATCGCGTAAAAGGTTATGTTCTATTAAATATAAAAACGTAGTAGTACGTCTGTGCAATCGATTTCTCGTGGTGAAGAGTTAGTCGATTCAGAGATCATCGTATCGCGTCGAGCACGTCGAGGAAGCCCTCGATACACCGCCGCGGCACGCAACAGTCATAATAGGGGAGAACATAAAATACGTAAGCGTGTGAAAGTCCCTAGAAAAAGGATTTTCCGGTGCGCGCTCCACTATACGCGTGGAATGCCTCGCGATGTCGTGTCTTCGTGGACTCGAGGATGAGAGTCTATCGATATCGTATCATTTCCCTTATGGAAAAAAAAATTTGCGAAAATAAATTCGTTTCGCTACTGAAAGCTTTTTATCGGGAGATCTTTAATCGGATTTCTAAGTATTTAATGCACAATTATATCGGTATTATCGGTCGTCGGTAAAATAGTACTTGACGTAATAAATGAAAATATTTTCAAGAACTGTTTCCGTAATTGTGTGTAAATTAATATTACGGGAAATAATAATATTATTAATTTAGATAAATAATTTCAATATTTGCAAATATTATTATTATTATTATTACGTAAAATAATTATTTCACGATAATTTTTTACGTGAAATATATTATGAATAACATTGAATATTATAACTGGTGTTTAAATATACGAAGCAATTTTTATTCTAAATTCTGTATCGAATTGTTTCGTAAAAAAGTCTCGCATACTTCATATTTTATGAATAAATATTTAAAATAACGTGTCATAAAAAATACAAAGCAATTTGTATCATTTTAAAATACTCTTAATTCGAATATTCCCTTTCTTTGCGTGTTATTCTGAAAAGATATCACGATGGATGGAAAAGCAGGTCGAAATCGACGCGAAAAGGGAAAACAGATTTCGCGATGCGATGGAGAATAAATAACAACTAATAGTCTTTCTATGCTGAGGCGAAAATTTTAGGCGGCGCGACGTGGTATTCAAGCTTTATCGGCAGAATTTAAATTTCCACCTTTAAAGGCAGCTCGACGATTTTAATTGGAGATATTTAAATTCCAGCTTGCAAGAATAAGTTAAAACTGCATGTGTAAGTAAAAATATTCTTTCATCTATATTCCGCGCGTGAGAAGGATTCTTCATTTAAATATTTAAAACCCGGACGACATATCGTTCTGACAGAAAAAAAAAAAGAAAAGATCTGGATCGTTGGAGATCATCGATGAATGATCACGAGAAAAAGAACCCATATCGACAATTTCGTTAAGGATATCGAATCAAAAATGTGATTAATTTCAATAAGAATCGTTCCTTATATCCGATCCTCGTGAAAATACAAAAAAAAAAAAAAAGGCTTTGATAGATAGACAGATCTTTTTCCATGATATAAATGAGCTCAAGAAATAATTGCCAGAAGGGTGATAATTTCCTCGTGAAAGTTTCAACTGATAACTACTACGCTAAAAGTCTAGAGACTTCTCTTTCTCGCCGTCGAAACCAGAAATAATACTAATTATGTAATTTCGAAGCGTTCTTGCCGACGAAACTTGTTCCGAAGTTTCCGTCCTTCGTATCACGCTGTGGTATCTCGCCGAATCGTGCCGAGTTTCTCATCATTCATCGCAGAACAGGTCAATATCGTTGCATCTTTCGAACTTGGTCAGCGCCAATGAAGAAGATGCCGTTTAACGATACCGATTCCATTCGCTTCGAAATGTTTCTTCGCATCCCTTTGACACGCGAGTGTCAAAACCGAAAATCGCGAGGGAAAACCGCGGATTATTAAATTTTCTAAAGATATAATGTTCTAAATAATCATTGGCAGACGAGTCCGTCTATATTTTCTATCATTTTAAAACTTGAGAATTCAGTAATTCTGATAATATTTTATTAACTCTAAATGGAATAATAATGTTTCGCTCGAACAATCGGATTAAATTAGATCGTTAATAATAAAAATCCGTCGAACGAAACACCATTTCGAAAATGTAGTAATAAAATAATAAATATAATAAAATACGATACCTTCAAGAGATCAGAATTATCTCTGATCGATCGAGATTCTAGAACCATACGCTTCTAAGTCACAAACGTAACGAAACACGATGCTTCTTGTGGGATTTTGGGATCAAACGCAACGGTCGTGCGTAGGAACGATACGATAAAACGTCTCAGGAAGATTTTTCTCAGGGAACGTAGTCTGTTCTCCCTAGCCTCCCTAACAAATAAAATTCGTTGCTCGCGAATAGGTCGCGTCACATTCAGCGATGAAAATAAAGCGTGGCCGGCCCCGCGTATCGCTTATTGGTATGCCAGTGACACGCCAGTCCAATTTCGTTACCGACGTCTGCGAATCGGTGAATATCATCTGCTCCATTGAAATTCCGCCATAGCCGTGAGAGACGCGATATCGCATTTGTCTCCCTGACTGCGTTACCTAAACGATCGCGTTTTGCGCCCCCCCTCCCCTCCACCGGCCCTTGTTCCGCCTAGCCGCCCATCGAACGTGGCCGCGTATCGATGACGAGTATCCTGTTTTTCCAACCCCAAAATCCATTCCCTAACTCGATAATTGATCGTCGATTTAATGGCAAACTTAAAATTGGCCCACTCTCTGTTCAACGCTCTTCGCGTATTTGCGGCCAGTCGTGGGCCAAAGTGGTGTACAAAATGATATGGAAATAATAAATAGAATTATATACTTATAGTTTCGTCGATGTGTTTGACGATCTTTTCTTTTTGGAAAATCAATCGTTTTGCAAGAATATTTGTACGTAAATTAAAATATTCTTCTCGAGTTTGGGAAGATAAAAACCTGTGTGATGATTCGAGAATGGATCTAAAAATGTGAAGTGATTCTCTATAAATCCCTCGTTATTCTTTAAAAAGGGTTTTCTGAAAATGTTAAACATCCACTTTTTCCTATTAAAAATTCCTCTTAAAAAAGTATTTATGTATACGCAAATCCTACGTGTCTTATTAATTTGTCTTTATTTGTCTTAATTTGTCTTATTAATTTGATAAAAATTTCTTCAACGTCTCAACGTTTTTCGATCGTTAAATAGACATTGAATTTACTATCGCATCTTTTTCTTTCGATTAATATGCAACCAGATTGATTGAAACACTAAATGCAAAAAGTATTCTCTAGTAAATATAACTTTTAAATCTATAAAAAAATCGGATGATTTTAATGTGATATTGTTCAATATTGTTCCTTATCTTATTTTCAATATATATTCGATATAATTATTCTTATCTTTTCCAATTGAAAGAATTTGTTGACTTTGAATTAAGAATTGGAAAAACCGAGGATGAAGGATCACCTGCAGGGATCCTGGACATTCGTGATTTTAATCTGTCAACTAATTAGCCGACGTAGATTAAACCAATTAGATTCGTGCTTCGCGTAGCCTGCGACTACGTAATCGTTTCTATGAAGGATTGCTTAACCTTCGGTTATAACTCTTGAATTTACATAATGATTATCGTTATGGATCATAAAATATACAAATCACAATTTATTATTGCGAAGTAAGTGTAAGAATAATATAATTTCTAAGGAATTTTAACACGGTCACCAATGAAATGTAAAAATAAAAAATAATTTGTTTACACAAAATTATAAATAATTTCCTAGTCATTGATACATTCAATATTGAAAACGCATTTCAACACGCTGTCTAATAAATATCATAATATCACCTGAGAAAATAGATAGATGTTGTCAAATATCATTAAAGTTGAACTAACCTTTATCCGACGAACGTCGAGACGATTAATCCTTTTGGCACTATGGGCCAGATATCTCGAGAGATGTCACTTATGCGATGCGACACGAAATCCTTTCGAGGTTAGATCAGGTCAAATGTTTCGCAATCTATTTCGTTTTGTTTATTCTGTAACAAAAAGAATAATATTATTATTACGTATAACACCTTGTTTTATTCAAAATCGTAAAAAAAAAGAATTATAAAAAATTTATTTGTTTGTGATATTTAAGCGTTTATAAAGAAGATTTCGCAGGAATTTTTTTTAATTTTTCGCTGGAAATTTTATTAGCAGGAACGACGTTGTTCACGAGATATCTCATCCACGGCGAAAGGGTTAAACGTTGTGCTTTGTTTATCTATTATAACGGTCACGTTGTTCAAATAATACTGCGTGTCATGTTACGCGCCGCACGATGCGTAATAACTGCAAACAGTAATTATTCTGGGAAATTGATCACATGTTATTCGCGCCAATGATTGAATAGTATCTTCCTCCGCTGGTTTACTTTTTCATCGGAAAAAAAAAAAAAAAAAAAAACGTCAAATAAATATTTTTCGTTGGAAATTTTGTATAAAATTTGTAAAAAACAAACGAAAAATTCGGATAAATACGAAAAAGATTACAAAAGTTATTATAGTTTCAATATGTAATTAAAATTCGATTCGAATTTTAAAAAAACAAAGAAATTAAAAATTCTTCATCAAGACGCTTTCGAAACATCTATACCATACCATCTATCCCCGCTATGCTATCGAAAATGCAAATATCGAATCACAAATCGATATAATGTTCCTTTTTTACCCTCATATCGGATGCGTGCATCAAAGTGATATCGAAAATGCATAATAAAAAGAAAAATAAAAAAATAACGCATGAAAAAGATAATCAATCGATGCTCATTCTCGAATGACGAAAACCAAATAAAAAAAAAAAAAACAACATAAAAAGAACGTAAATTAAAACAGAAATCAAAAAGAGGAAGAAAAGCACCAAGTTCGACGAAAACTCGACGCCGAATCGCAGTTCGAAAAGAAAAGAAAAGAAAAAATCCATAGCATCTTGGGGGAAAAGCATTAGACCGAGGATAATAGCCCGTCGAACACGAGGCAGCCCGTAGGCCGATCACCCGATTCTCCCCGTGTGTTTTCGTGCGCCGACAGCGAGCGGAATCATTGCGAATTCTCGTAATTCCCTCCCATCCGTGGAAGGGTGGTTTCGCGGCCTGGCGCAGGGGTTGAGGGACGCGGATAGGGAGGGGTAGACGCCTCTCTTTCCTACGGCACGCTCGAAGCACCCAGGGGCAATTGAAACTCACGGCCATTTACTGCATTTCAATAATGGTTTCCCATCCTCCCCCCTCCTCTTTCGTGCTACCACCACCCCAAGCTACGTACGTGGAACACGGGAGAGAGCGACGTTGGCTGCTCCGCACCCGCTCACAGTCGATTTACCGTGAGCTTTATGGAACACAACGGGGGTAGAAGTAACCAACGGCTAACTATCTCGTCTATGGACGAGTGTATTATTCGATCCGGCCCTAACACGGCCACGTGCCGACGTGAGCATCGTTTTACGCTTCCGGGAAAAATCGTTTGACGAAAAGGGGAGGCAAAGCGAGGGTAGGTACTTGAAAAAGATAGGTAAAGAAATATCGAAACTTTGAAATTTTCCACTTTGATTTGGATTTCGAAAATTATATTTGAAGAAATAGGTAACCGAGGTGGGTTAGTGAGAAAGGTAACGAAACTTTGAAATTTTGGTGTTTGAAGTGAAAAAGTGAAGAAGGAAGGAGGAAGTTGATGAGAAAGGTATGAACGTAGTGGATAATTTTGATTTGGATTCTGAAAATTTGAAAAGGTATGCGCGAGGAAAGTGAATATGAAAGAAACTTCGAAATTTTGATTTTTGATTTGAAGAAACACGTTCGAATTATTTAATTAATAATCAGATAGAGATTGATTCGATCATGTACGATCGAAATTATTGTATCTTTATCGAACTCTCTATCGTCATTTTTCCGAAATGCGTTTAAAACGATTGTTAACGACGTTCGGAATAAAGTTAAAAATTCAAGAAATGGAATAACTTTGTGTAATCTAACTTTTAATCAACGTTACAACCGAGGAGTTGTGACAAGTTCGTTGGATTACAAAGTAACCTGGTAACAACTTCCATTTGAAACATTTCAAGAACATAGTTATACGTTTCATAATTTTGTGAAAGAGAGAAGAGAGATAGAAGAGAATTTAAAAAAAAAAAAAAAAAAAAAGATAGAAAGAGAAAAGAGAGAACATGAAAATTTACTTTAAAGTATTCATAAAAATTTCTCTTTTTAAGATATGTATCGTGGAGAATTCTTGTTTTCTTTTTCTTTTTTTTTTTTTTTTTTTTTTTTTTTTTTTTTTTTTTTTTTTTTTTTTTTTCGTTCAATCCTAAAAGGCTTTGCCAAATCCATTTTCGAAATGGTTTTCGTTACCAGTCGGATAAAGTCTATCATGTCGAGCGGAGATATCTGAAAAATGTTTTATATCCTTCAACGCACCGAATACATCGGACGTCGTACTATTTTTATGCTAAAATCCACGGGGGGTTTCGATTTCGTTATACCGTTTCTGACTTATCGACATTCGTCTTCTATTTCTCGAGTTGCAAACGGATCCGTACCGTTCGTGCACACTTTACGAGTGATTCTAGATTTAACCCACTTTATTATCCCAAAATGGCCGATTTTAAATAAATTTAAAAACTCTGTCTGGAAAATAAAAAGAACCGCCTATTCTTTCAACGGTTCCAAGATGTTGATCACGATGATATACTTAAAATTAAAAAAATTTCTACTTTCGCAAAAATAATCACTCCACTTGCACATTTCCATTAAAAGATCCAACGATAACCTATGATTTCTGTGATACCGCTTATTACAATTACTTAGCATTGGCGGAAGAAAATTTGCATCAATTTACCAACGCGCTCCATCGATTAATACCGATCCGAATTTTCCACGAAACGGGTCTAAATAATTGAGATGGATATTTTATCGTCTTGTCAGGTTTCCGTGAACACGAAACACCATGGGTCGTATACGGGAGGCGAGGGGAAAGATACGTGAATTCGGTGAAATTTGAAATCGGGTAAAATTGCCCGAAGGCAATGGCGAAACAAATTTCACCCATTAGCGACCGACGGAGGATACATGTCACGCCGCGGTTGTCATCAATACAAATATCTGCGCGAGATACCTGTCCATATTTCCGTCCTCGAGCCACGGAATCACGTGTGTGATCCCATACAAGGGAAAACCTCTCGAATTTATTCGATAAATTCATATACTACTAGCTGTGCTCTTGCTATGAATTTCTTGATCGTGTAAACCGTATGGTTTATTATTTTTTTTTTTTTTTTTTTGAAATATTTAGTTTAGATTAATATTTTTTTATTTTTTGTTTTTTTTTTATAATTTTTTTTTTTTTTTGAAATATTTAGTTTAGATTAATATTTTATCATTTCTTTGTTTTGTACCATTAAAGTACAAAATATAAAAAGTTATTGTTTTCGTCATGATTTATAGTTGATTATAAAAATATTGGTTGCTAAAGTACCTTTTGCCTAATTTTTAATATGTAATTTTTTATCGTGCATTCTATTTTATTTTCAAACATTAAACTATCAGGTAAATTCAAAATATTAATTCAATAGATTCATATTAAATGATTTCAATTATTGCAAGCATAATCATCTGCAATAACCTAAAATAATTTCGCTATTTTACGAGTTTTCGTAGCATCAAGACGAATAAAGGAAGTTTTAACGAGGTCAGAAGATACGAGACAAGTAGCTCGTTAGAGGTATTAACTCTTAAAAAAAAAATGTAATTTTTTTCAATGATAAATTTCCTGAGAGAAACCGAGTGAAGGGAAAATTCAATTCTTTTTTTCATATGACCCCCGAATGCGACAAAAAACACATTACACGGGTGATCTATTTTAGATCTCGTGTCTGCGTCAGACAGAGCGGAGAATACAGCGCGAGAGTGCTTCTGGATTTAAATACAATAACCCGGGGCTATTGTAAAAAATATACACGGCCACGTTCGCGCGACTGCACACAAATGGTCTGGCCTTATGCATGCGACACGATCGCTGGTATTTCTATTCGCCAAATTAATATGGAAAATTCAATCACGAGTACATATTGCTAATCTCTAATTTTTTCTCAATGATCCATTTTTAAGATGATCGTTCATAATATATTTTTTCCAAGTAATTCCAATTGATTTTTTGTAATATTAAAGATTTAATAAATAGATTCTAAAGATCTATATTCGTATGATCTTTTTTTATCTTCGATAAAAATGAGATATGATAAATTTTCATTCATATTTTCATCCATAAAGTTTGAAATGCTCTGTAAATTAAATAGTGAAAAAAATTGTGTAATTTTAAAATATTTTAATTTTTTATCAGAATAAATCATAATTAATATTATGTAATGGAGAATCAAGGGACGATTGGTGAAGGAAAGGGGTTATGTGTATATACATATCTACGCGAATGCAAACGTGGCTGCGCATGTAATATGCGGTGTAATCGCATTCCTATGCATGTTACAAGCCCTGTAGATACAGTGGATTGTCTAATGGACGACACATGTTAAATATTCTGCCGGTATCGATACTATGGAGAGATTATTCTGATCCACGTGCTCGTGCTATTATCATTTGCCCATATCTCGATTTTTCATAATTTAATGGGGCTTTAACGTATTGAATGGATCGAACAAATATTGGAGAGTCACTTTGTAGATTAAGTTATCCATCATGTAACTTCCTATCGTTCTTTTATATATTACTTTGTTCCCTTTGTTTTATTTAGTTATTTTGTTCTATACTTATAATATGTGCGCGATAAAATTTAATTTCTTTCATTTTCTGTTATGGAAATTTTGCCAATCTTTTAACAACGATGTTCCATTGTAAAATTTCAATTAATATTAAATGCATTGAATTATTAACATCGATGATAATTTTTCCAACGTGCATAAAGAGAAAATATTACAACGCATAGAAAATGCATTGTAAGTTCGAAAATATCATATCTATGATGTTTCAAACTTCATTTGAATACGA